AAAGTAGCAAGGGACTCGTCCAATCACAGTAGAAAACGTAAGATTATTTTATCTTATGTTTTCTATTGTGATTGTCCAATCCGCTTAATGCTTAAGTCTTTCTGTCTTGCATTTTTCTATGTGTTTCTAGCTTTATACAGAAATCCAAGCATCCAGTAGAATATAAGTATTCGTCGAGAGATGCCGGGGCAAACTATTGCGGGATTCCCAGCAGCCGGTTATCTCGCCCATCTGTTACGTGCGTGGAAGAAACGATGACTCGTGCAAACATCGTAAAACTCACCGATCGGCTGCGTCCTCGTCGCCGTATCCTAGTTAATGTGATAATCGGCCGACGTTTTATCTTACGATGCCGTCTCCGAGGTCCTCTCGCAAAAATAGAAAAACTGCGGCGGACAGCCGACGTCAGCGTGATTCCTTAATCCGCGCCGCTTGATCCCAACCCGCACCGCATGACCTGAAAAAGTAACAGGGATAAGTTTTTTCTTGTTATCAAGATGGCGTTTCGCTCACGCTCGCAAAAGAGTACCGTATTAAAGCACGTAGGTCTAATTAGCACGGAAGCTAATTGGGTGAACCGGCAGTATCGCCTTCGGCCCTCATCTGCCTCTCCTGCTTCTGGTTCCCCCCGTTCCCTATACGTCCCTCTCTTTCATAGATAACTTCATGGCAGTACAAGTGCGATATACGCGTATTAATTTCTTTGTTAACCACTTACACCCGGAGCTTAATTTCTCTCTAAAAGCCACTCGTCGACCGCACCGCTTCTGTTGCCGACAGCGGTTATGTAGTAATAACGTCGACGCCGTGAGACGCGGGAAAGGAACAGCGTCGTAAATTAATTACAACGATCACCACCTCGTAGAGGCTCGTGAGAACCAAACTTCAACGAGACGGCGGATTCCTCATTTCTCGTTTCTTGTTAACTTAAATTACTCAAGACATTCTCGTTTTTCGAGAAGAATCTTCTGATTTTTATATGCTATGTAATTTAAAGATCAAGAAACATTGAAAACATTTTTAATTATTAATCTTTAGTCCTTACATGATTTGATCATTCATGTCCTGCGTATTCCTTTTCTTTGAAATACATACTAGGAGCATCAAGTAATTATAATATTTACACCTGGTTTTTCATTTACTGGTTAACTTGTAATTAGACTCAAATCTAATGATAATGAAAACTATTTTCATATCTATGGTTATAATCACTAAATTAATAATGCATTTTTTTAAACTTACTGTTACAAACCTATTAGTTTAGCGATTAATCATAGCTATAAAAACACAATTTTTTACATTATCATCAAGTTAAGTGAGATTGAGTCCAAACTCTTAGTTAACTTTAATTAGACAATAAACAAACCAAACCTTATAATTAGTTATATACAATTTTTTAAATCATATAGCCTTACAAATACAAATACTTTCTAAAGATGTCAAAGTATATTTTATAATACACGTATACACATATACCATAGTACCCTAAGAAAAATAAAAATAACATCATATTGACCGATTACTGATCGAATTTATGTAATTTTTGTCACGATACGATTAATATGATATTTTTTGACTTTCTAGTGTACTACTTAAGATATTTTATTACACATATAGGTAGGTATGTGTAAGAATCACTTAATAATTTTTGTATACTTGCAAGTAATGAAAATTAATTCAGGACATAAACGAACCATTACGTGTAGAATTAAAAAATAATTTTTTTTTTTTAATTTTTCTCTGGGTAAAGATGGTTATACCCTCACTCTTTCCTTTTGATCTTTTAACACTAGAAGATCAGATGTGCTGAAAGTTAAATTTCAATTTATATGTGTGTGTAAAATAACACAATATAAAATAATGCAGATTTTATCATTTTATGTACAAATTACCTTTAGTTCATAAAAGTTCATACCTTCCTCGGATTCTGTCAAAAATTTAACCTCACATTAAATGTCATTCTATTAATATGCTTATTAATTTCGAGCAAATCTGCTCCCTGGTGCAGATATCTGCGTTATGATGACCGATCCGATCGTGACGCAAAAAAGAAGAGAAGCAAATTTTTCTTACCACTCTCTTAATTCGATCACGCCTGTCGTTGGGGCGCCGCCATTTCTTCGTGCGAGAGGGTTCAAATTCAACCCAAGACGGCGACCGGTGGACAGAGCGGGCGAGGAACGGGGAGCCCTCCTATACGGTAAAAGGGGGCCGTCAGGAACCGCGACGGAAAGCGAGGGCACAGCGGAAACGCGAGCTCGGCCAAGTAGAAACGCGGTCGGAATAGATGCGCTGTAATAACGGTGCGCGCCGTTCATCTTCCGCGTTGACTAGCCGTTGAAACGCGACGCGAGGCGACGCCGGCGAATATACAAGCGCGATAATGGCCGCCACTAAATTAACGCACGGCGGTGTGTACCTGACGAGACCGTTCCGCATGGGGGGGGGAGCGTCTTCGGCGTCTCCCTCACTACCGCCGGTTACTCATTGTCGTCGGTGTGATAAACTGACGACTACTCGATCCCGCGCGATTGGACTTACGATTGATTTCACCAAATTCGCGCAGACGTTGCGTCGAATTCGAAAGTTCGAAGGAGAACTGTCCGCGCGCCACGAACGACTTGAAGTTTGCGCGGATTAAAAAATGGCGGTCGTTATAGCTCGACGCGCGCAATCCGTTTATTTTTGAATTAATCAAAAACATTACTCGATATGCTTTCGTAGAGTTGTAGTCTATAAGTTTGTTCATATTACTTGAAATCTTGAAAAATATTTTATGCCGAAAGCGTAAACAATGCGAATTGTGAAGCAGATTTTAATTGTTTCCTGTTTTCAAGTAATCATAACAATACATTGATAATTCTAAGAAAATAACAGGAAAAAATAATAAGTTAGAGAAGAAATAGTAAACTATGTACGGATATTTATGGTCAGAAGTTAAGGCCATAGCACACAAAAACAAACACTAAGATATAAGCCGTAAGCAAATCAACATTTTGGATTTTTTGCTATGGTTTATGTTATTGCCTTATGGTCTCTACTGTGATTGGCTTACTGCTTGTTTTATATAAGTTTTTTTGTGTGCCATAGCCTTTAAACTGATCGAGTATGGAAAACAAAAGATAGAGAAAATTAATGAAGTTTAAAGGCTATAGCACACAAAAAAAGACGTAAGGCCATAAGATGTAATCAGCAAAGTGAGTTGGCCAATCGCAGTAAAATCTAATCATGTAGAAAATGTAAGGCAATAAGAGAACGTAAAGCAGTAGTAATTAAATTCAAATAATTAAAAACATTAATAATAAATATTATTTACTTATTACTTACGCCGGAACAGATATAACGAGCAATGAAAAGACTGGAAAAGACGAGCGCCATCCACCTTTTCATCGCTTTGTATACATAAATCTCATTTTTTAAATTGAAAATAAAAAAAGTAGTTCCAGAAAGGCACATAAAATACACGTCTATCGGACGAGTAAACTACATTGACTACTGTACTGTTCGGTGGCGTCCTCTATCGTACGCCGAACATGATTTCTAGAAATAAAACGAAAGTGTTTTACAGATATTACAGTATTTTACAAATTTTTTAAGATGCTTCGCATTCAATTGAGATTTAAATAATTATATCTTGCCTTATATATCGCTTTCATATCATAGTTAATCAAAATTATTCTGAAATTTGAAAATAACGTTTATCTGTACACCGCACAGCACATATATATTTACATAATGCATAATGCATAAAGTATAAGAAAATCAACCAATTAGAGTATTTTATTTCATAGAGAGGACTTTGATTGGTTTTCATTTTTTTAGGCATTGTGCAAAACTCCTGTACTTCTACTCTTAAAGCCGCAGCACACAAACTTTTGCTTAACGCATAGTGCATAAGAGAATCAATCATTCAAAGTTCTTCTTTTCTGAAAGTTCTTTTTCTCGTGAAATGGAAGGAAAGGAAGGATTCTGATTGATTGATTGATTGATTGATTGATTCTCTTAAGCATTATGCGTTATACGAGTTATGCAAAAGTAAACCCTTTCAGTGGCGTAACTTCAAAATTTGGACCCGGGGGCATAGCCTTTTGAAGACCCTGTCATTAAAGAGTAGTTAATACACTTTCCTTAATAATTAGTTTAAATGTCACAAAGTAAAAATCCAATTATGTACCAATTTAATACGATACATGTATTTCTTTTAAATATGAAATAATATAGAGAAAATAAATTTCAAAAACGTAAATAGATATAATTTTTAGTTTAGAGAAAGAAAAAATTTCTGGTTGGAAAAATCGATAGAAAGATATAGATCGTGCTTTTTACAGCTTTTTTTCAACTTTGCGTTACTTTACTACAATAACAGAGTATTATGGCAGAAACGGAACGGAATGTAAAGTGCAATTGCAATACAAATTTGGAAATATGGAATTTTATTTTTAATTTAACTATCAAATAATTATATTTAAAATGATAACATATTATTCGAATATAAATAAAAGATCTTTCTTGCCTTAAGTTTTATTAAGTCATTTCTGATAAAATTTTAGCATTGACAGTAAAAATAACATATCATATTAAGTTTTTGAGAAATCCCGACAATATTGCTAAAATGGGCGTTTTTAATACTTTTTAATACTTTTAGTCATATCTTTCGCTGTAGAGATCTACTATTAGAAACGATTTATATCAAGGCAAGTGGTATTGAACATGTAACTAAAAATTAAATTAAATTTTAAGGGCCAACAACTCTTGGGCCTGAGGCCGCAGCCCCCTTTGTCCCTTTGTATAAGTTACGCCACTGGGCCTTCTGTCTGAAGAAGTGCCTGCATACGCGATTGGATGACGCTAGATGCATCATCGCGCCCACGTGATCTGCGAATATCCTTCGGTGGTTTCCAACTACAACTTATCGTGATCCATGGCGAAACGTCTTTCGGTCTTTCATCATGGCACACGTCAGCACAGTGCGCCCTCTGTTTCTCTTGTTCGTGTATTTGTATATGTGTGATGTGAGGAAGTCGGTTCGTGTACGATCAAGAATATATTTAGATTAAATCGCATATATAGAGCGTTGCAGAATCACTCGTCAGGATGGTAAGTGATTTTCTTCCGCGGTCGTGAAATCGTTGTCAAAATCCTGCTGCTTGGAAAAGAAGTCCCGAAGCGGCGGAATCGCGAGCTCGTGACATCTTCCACAGATGTCATCCATTTAACGGCGTGTGCCCGCCAGGCATTTAATTCTGCAGCTAAATTTATGTGATATCATATGCTTCTTTATTTTTACAGGTACTCATTGCTGCTGCGGTATGCACCAAAGCCGGAAAAAGTGAGTTCACAAAACATTCTTGCGTCACATCACTGTCATAGACACGTCTCGTATACGATACATCACTGTCATACACATGTCTCCTTTTAATAGTATCAGCTACTAATCACATGATACTTTTACCTCATATATCCATAATCCACATTCTGTTCTATTTGTTGAGGAATGAGTATCAGTTGGTCACTTGTAAGGAAAAGTCACATAAGTGACGAAAAAATATTGTTTGCTGCGACTATTTTATCATGATTTGTATTACTCTTCCAGCTATAATTTCTCGACAGTTTGTCGAAATGACAAAGGCGAGGATAGAAGGCCTACTTGCTGCATTCCCGAAATTAATGAGCTCGGGTAAACAGCATACATTTGTAGAAACAGAATCTGTTAGATATGTTTATCAGCCTCTTGATAAAGTATACATGCTGCTTATTACAACTAAGGCCAGCAATATTTTGGAAGATTTGGAAACTTTAAGGCTCTTTGTGAAAGTGGTAAGTAGATTATATATTAATGTATAGTAATATATAAGATATGTTCTACTTAGCATTTGCAATGTTACAAACATCATTTTGTCTTTGTTGTTTATCAAATGCTAAACAGAAATGAAATAATGATTGTAAATGCTAAGTGGAACATATTCTTGATATATTAGAGTGAGCCTTTTATAAGCAAAAATGTCCTAATTCCTAGACAATGATATTCTAACGCAGACTGTTTTCTTTATTAGGAATTTGTTGATTGACCAACATTGTTTTACTATCATAAGTAAAAGAAAGAGTCAAAAAAACCAATATTTGTCTTCCTTTTTCTATCTGGCTATAGTTTTCTATAATTTAGTATAGGGAAGGCTTATTCCAATATGTTATAATAATAGAATTTATTATTATGGATATTAATTATATGTGTACATTAAATATATACAATTGATTTCTATAGATTCCAGATTATTGTGTCTCAATGGATGAACTTGAAATAGCAGATAATGCGTTCAGTTTGATATTCGCATTTGACGAAATAGTTGCATTGGGCTATAGGGAAAATGTAAATTTAGTACAAATCAGAACCTTTGTGGAAATGGATTCACATGAAGAGAAGGTTTATCAAGCAGTCCGAATGACACAAGAGCGTGAAGCTAAGAACAAGATGCGTGAAAAGGCCAAGGAATTGCAGAAACAGAGGATGATGGAAGCTAACAAAAAAGGTGGACTTAAAAGTCCTGGATTTGGTGGAGGATATGGAAGCGGTAGCCTACCAGCTACTCCGTCTGTTGGTGATACAGCTAACTTTGTGCCTGAACCAATTATACCTCCTTACAAGTCCAAACAGTATGATCAATTTTAATCTTGATTATAATTATTTACTATAATTTATTTTTACCATAATTATTATTTTTATTAGGAAACCAATAAATGCTGGACCTGGTGCAATGAAATTAGGTGGAAAGTCTCGCGATGTAGACTCATTCGTTGATCAATTAAAGGAGGAAGGAGAAAATGTCGTAACAGGACCTCTTTCTGTTCTTGGAACAAAATCCACACAAACTCCTCAGATAATTAACACGGAATTGTATGTTATATTGGCGATATATAGGAGCTTCAAAATCATTTGAATAAATTATTTAAATGTATTTCCATCAAAAGGGTTCACTTAAGACAAGAAGAACATCTTAATGTACGCGTCGGACGGGATGGAGGTTTACAAAATTTCGAGTTGCATGGCTTGGTAACTTTACACATTTCTGACGAGAAATGGGGACGTATCCGTGTGCAAATCGAGAACAGCGACACAAGAGGAATACAATTACAAACTCATCCAAACGTGGACAAGGAATTATTTAGATCACATGGACAGATAGGCCTGAAAATACCTACGAAACCATTCCCATTGAACACTGACGTCGGCGTGTTGAAATGGCGTTTCCAAGCTCAAGACGAAACAGCATTACCAATTTCAAGTAAGATCATAATACTACAATCATCATTGTCATATATGATTTTACTTTTAATTTTAACTGTCTTTTAAATCTATGAAATATATGAATATACATTTAATTGTTTGTAATAGTAAATTGCTGGCCTTCTGAAAATGGAGAAGGTGGTTGCGACGTGAATATTGAATATGAATTGGAACAGGCCGATCTTGAGTTGAATGACGTCCAAATAAACATTCCTCTACCTATGGGATGCAATCCTATTGTCAGTGAATGCGACGGACAGTACACGCACGAAGCACGACGAAACGCGTTAGTTTGGTCTTTACCATTGATCGATGCTTCAACGAAATCAGGCTCTATGGAATTTTCAGCCCCATCTTCTACACCTGCAGATTTCTTCCCACTTCACGTTTCGTTTACGTCTAAAACGTCGTATGCTAAAATTAAGGTATAGACTACATGAATTTCTATGTGTTGCGTAAATTATATCATATAAAAATGTTATTTTTACTTTTCAGGTTAGCGAAGTTCTGCTTGTAGAAGATCAGAGCCCAGTTAAGTATTCAGTAGAATCAGTGTTCTTTACTCATAAATATGAAGTTGTATAAGACATTATGGATAATAGATGAAAAGTATTTGCGTATGTAAGAATCTGAAAATAGGCACAGTTCAGTGGGAAAGCATAATGTTATGATCAACAATCAAGATTGACTACTATTTGAATTTATTTTTATTGCCATACAGCCATTCTTACGTGATCCATTGAACATTGATATATGTCATTTGCTATATTTATGTACATGTATCAATTCAATATGCTATTTAATAACTGTTCAGTGCCGAATACTTATACACATTTGTAAAACAAAAAGAAGATATATTTTAATTAGACTAAACTTGGTTATAATTCATACACACGTAAATTTATCATATTTACTTTCTACTTGATACATATATTTTAGTACTGATTAGCTTCTGCAGAAGATTGTATTATTACCAAATATATATATCAGATTTTGTTACTCGTTCGTAAGTTTATGTTACCTTGTCTCGGAAAATATTTCACATTGCATCGCCATGTTTTTTTTTTTATTAGAGCTCTTGTTAAAAATATAGAAAAATTTTTCTTATAATTAAACGACAAAAATATAGTTACTTTTAAATTTTTATTTACAATTTGTAAAAACATAATATATAAATAATGTTACAATTTAATAAAATAAATATTATAATTCATCCATTGGCATACTTATAATTTGTGGTATCAAATGATTCTCAATAACCGCTTTAGCTGCAAATTAATAAAAATAAAATTATATTTTCTTGTAGACGACTTTTTGTATAGATATTTTTTAATGTTTAAAAAAAAAATGTTTTACCATTCATCGAATTATTTATAATTGCTGCTTTATAGGCACTTATATTTGAGACATTAGTAAGTGTTACTTCTGCACCTTTTATTAATAATTCGTAACATACGTGTGGATGATCGCAGTGTGCTCCATATATTAATGGAGTATTACCATCCTACAACACAGAAACATAATTGACACACGATACTAGAAATTCAGTTTATTACTTAAAGAAGTGTGTACTTCGTCACATGCGTTAGGGTCAGCTCCATGATTTAACAATAATTTGACAATATCGTGATGACCGTAAGCAGCTGCCAGATGTAGACTGGTTTGTAAGTTTGGTCCACAATGATTTATACTAGCGCCCCTTTTGAGCAATTGTTTAACGCTACCTATTTGTCCGTAAGCACAGGCCCACATCAATCCTGTTAAGCCCTGTTCATCAGTCATATCCACTGAGTCTGTGCAACACAAAAATATATTATATTACAATATATTATTTAACAATATTTGTATGTATTTCAATTTAGACAATAATGGTAAATTTGGTCACTTGCATTACTAAATTAATGCTAAAATAACTATACATGAAATTAACTAAATGAGAAGCAGAAAATTTCAAAATGTTTTTGCCCAAAATTTATAATTTTCAGAAAGCGAGAAAGAAATTACGCACTTTACAGAAAATAATAAAGTGCATTTCTCAAATGTTAGAAACATAAATATTTTAATTAATTAAATCTCCAATAATGATGTACGTTATAACAGGATATGTATTACTTCATTGTCAAAGTTGATTGTATTGTACCACTGCATTCAGGTACTCTTTATATAAAGCAGGTTTTTTAATTAATTCAATATAATATAGTACAACCGAATTCTCCATAAGATGTACAGTGCATATATAGAATTTACTTGAATGTAAATGATCAGATGTAAGTTCTCCCTGACCCGCCAAGGTATGAAACGTGATATCGTTGCCGACATAGAGCTGGTGTATCTGCGTTTGAGTGTTGCCTCTTTGTAAATTCGTGAGCAGGGTAGGTGGCTACAAGTAAATGAAAAATGAACAATGCTTTTGAAGCTTTCGGATACTTCCTATACAGAAGCTATATATATATACAAGCTATAAGCTCTCCATGTTCAGATCCATTCCTAGAATACCAATATTTTTTGAACATTACAGTTTACTTCATCGGGATGAGGAGCAGTCTGATACTGTACCAGGCTGTTCTTCACCCCAATGAAGTAAATTGTAATAATTTATAAAACATTGGCACATTCTAATAATGGATCTGGACACGGAAATAATCCGTGAAACGCAGCTTCTGCATAAAAAATAGATCTTATATATTTAGTTATAAATATTCTATGGCCTACAGGCGACGGTATTACAATAACTTCTTTGTCGCGACGGGTGAATCCCCTGATCTCTGAGGTCGATGTCCCGCGGAGTTCAAGGAGAAGGCTGAGAGAGGAGTACCTTGTACGGTTGGAAGGCGCTGGTCCTGGTCGAGTCTTGCCACGCTCCTGGGGCCCAATGCCATTTTGTCTCGAGTGGCTCAGACTTGCAGCCGATGCTCACGTTTTCCGGCTTGTAGATTAGAGGTTTTGGCCGTATCCCGATCGCCGACCCGTCGGGGGTGACGCTCTTCTCGCTCTCGGCAGTCCCAGTAGAGCAGCGGCTTACCTTCGTCTCGTCTTCCTCCCGCTCCTCCTTCAGAATTAACTCCGAGTGGATCTGATTTTCCATAGCTGTCAAACATGAAATTCCAAATCGCACAAGCAATGCGCGAGTTGCACCAAGCGGATCAGTTTCGTTTTACGTTGTCCCTTTTATTCGTTATTCGAACGTGACGACAGAGAATTTCTTGTTAAATTATATAAAACTAGATGAAACTGGATTTACACCATGTTGGAGGTTAGGAATGCATTATCTCGAAATTGAGTATTCTGACTGAGAACATTCACGTCGGAGACCGTCAGAGACTGTGTCTGGATTGTCAGGAGACGTGGAATTCGACTGCCATTCTCATATCGGTATTGTTTCACTGTTACTTAAAATTTTAATGCAGCAATAATCATACGACACCTCTCGCATATAAATGCTGCACGTATATTTTCGTTGGGTAGTACAGTACTGTATTTACGAAAGGATGTTACATGTGTGCGAATACTGTGAACCAATACGAATGAGCAGTTCATGCGCGCTAAACGGCTATTTCAGATGTACGACACATACGGCGTGTTTATTGTCATCCGATGGGTTTATTGTCATCAATAGTTGCGCCCAGAAGGAAAAGCAACTTTGCAATTTTTTTAAATTCTTTAACGCAATTGACCTTGCCTTTTTGGTTCTTCACTGAGGATCTAAATGTAATAAACCAATCATATTAGAGAATCTAACAATAGTTGCAAAGCTGCACTTTTTTCGTTGAACGCAGCAGATCGATAAAATTTTATTGCTGTATCAAATAAGACTGTATTAAATTAAATGCTAAAGACTGGAAATTTCCAAATCAAATCGTTCAAACTTTGATTTATTTTCGGAAGATTAGACTAAACGATTAACTTAATTGTCTTAATTAATTGATAATAAATTAATATTCAATTGTAGAATTATTGACAGTAAAATTTTTTCCGCATAATTTAAACGTCTTTAATCCTTTTTCTATGCATCAAGTGACAATAAATTGTAATAGTTTTGTTTATGTTAATAAAACGTACAGAATACGTTATTCGAAAAGTTAGAACGATTGCTAACTAATTCCTATTAACTTAATTGGTGTTCAATATGACCGGTAGAACTGTTCAGGAAAAAATTTCTCAAATCTTTTTTTCTATGCAAGCAACAGAAAATTAATAATTCCTAGCTGTTAATATAACGATACGGATATTATTCGATATAATCGCTTTATGTTATATTATGTTAATCTGAGTTTAATCGGCTCAGCATTATCACGTCAAAGACGATTATAAATAATCTGATACGATGAAGAGAATAACACGCATTTCGGATTCAGAGTTATTTATTAACACAGTGTACTTACAGCATTTACTAGACTAACAAGGGAGAAATTTACTAATAATTTGGCATTGAGAGGGAAGAGGAGAGGGCGAGAGGAAAGGGGGCGATTGATCTTGATTATACACGCTTTCTCACCAGCAAGGCTTTCTCGGAGAGCGAGCCGAATAACGGCTGCGACGTGCTCAATCAGACTTTGAAGATCGCGCCAATTTGGTGCAATCCATTCTTCCCTGATATTTTTCCGCTAATAAGATACGTATATTTTCTTATTTTAACGCGGCTGACAACGACAGTATGACAATAGATATCAAATTCGAGAGATAGTGCGAGGTGTGATATTCGAGTCATCTTTGCTCAAGTGATTCCTTTTTTTCTTTGTGAGAGTGGGAAAAAGTGACCAAAAAAATTAATACATGTCGTAAGAAAATTTGGGGTTTTCCTAATCAGTTTTTTTTTTTTTTTTTTCCTTGTCCTCGCGCGAGATTATCACAGAATTCAGATTTATTTAAGTGAGAGTGGCCAGTGAGAAGAATTGACGCGATCTCGTCCGTGGAACTTAACATATACTTGTAACGTTAACGCTGCATCTAAAGTCGATCATGTGTCTCTGTACAATTTATTGCCCATTTCTACTAACGTAGATTAACTTTAATCTTGGTTTAGCTTACTTTTTACCTTTATTAGTTTTAAGAATTATAAAAGGATGAAGAGTAAATTGAACCGAGATTAAAGTTAATCTATATTAGTAGAAAATGGACATTAAAGGATTATCTTCACGAGGTAATCCCGTAATTCTATGGTACGAGATCGTATCGCGTACATCGTGTCGATGAGAAAGACTAGAATCGATGTGATGCGTGTGTGCGAGTAGCTTGTTTAATATGGACGCTTTTTATTTAGTAGCACAAGTCAACACACAAGCGTCGTCCCATTTTTCTTTACATTTAATAAAGTAATAAAGATAGGAACGACACTTGCGTCGACTTGTGTCCACTAAATGGAAACCTCCTGATGAAGAAAAAGTTCGCAACAGGCATGGAAATATTCCTTCGTTTATCTCTCTTTCTCTCTCTCTTTCTGTAAATAAAATGTATTGTCGACAAGCCACCACGAATACATAAATTGTCCCTCGACAATTTCAACAATTCCTCTGCTCCTTTTTTCTCGTTTCTCTTTATTAGAATTATAAATAGAACGGAGTGTTCAACATTCGTTTACAACGATTATAAAGTTACATTAGCGATACGTGTCAATTAAGGATCAATCGATAACGGTTATTAGCAGACGTGACAGCGCAAAATTAGAATGTAGTCGATCATGCGGTAACGTGTAAAAATTTTCAGCCAGATATAAACTTATCTCTAGCTAGACATTGTTTTTCGTTCGGCGCGCTGGAAAAATTCCGATACTTACAATACAGGAGAACAAGAATCTTTTTTTTTTTTTTTGCACAATATCTTTGACCGATTGCAAGCTCGTTCTCTCTAACGAATCTTAAGTTAACGATAATTACAAAACTTATCGCTGAAATTAACAATGCGGCCGAAAGCATATCTTTCTCTCCCCAGTGAGCAAACTGTCCGCAGAATGCCAGCAGATTGGTAATAAATTCAATTGGAAAAATTTAGCGGATCATTACCATTTGTGTCCGCATTAAACTTGTGTTCTGTCGACATAACTGGACAGCAAATTGACGGCAAGAATTAAGTAAAACTTATCGAACGCAGATTCTATTAGTAATACGTTGAATACCGCACCAATTTTATATGACTTGCCAAGGTAACGGAATAAATTTTTCGTTATGCGATGTGCATATTAGTTATTACTAAAATATTATTTATGATAGATAAGTTGAACTGTATTATTACGTTTTAAGCATTTATCTCACTGAGAGTCCACCGGTGACCCTCGTGGCGCTATAATGCGTTTCTTCGATTTCGTTCTATATTTTGCTTATTTTTTACGACAGTCAGTGGTTTCAACTGTTTCTTGTTTCGCTAATTCTCTCTTGTTGTATTTGTTCAACTATCAGGTAATGCTATCCAATATACTTCTGCACATTATATTAATTTTTGTGTGTATTTCATTTCTTATATTTTATTTTTTAAATAGCCCATATTAATGTGTCACTAAACAAAGATTATGTTTTTATGGAAAAAAATGTTAAAGTAATAGGTAGAACAAATGTGAAAAATTGTACAAAAAAAGTTGTCACATACTATGCAGATTATCGGTTCGCCTTTCTTCTGTTTGCCGTGCACATATAACATGCAATGATTATAAATAAAATTATTTTTATGTGTTCTATTATGCATTAGTTTTTTTTATATGATTGTAAACACGATGATAAAATCGACTATTTGTGAAGTATTGTCATTTACTTGATTATGCGTTTTTATTAATCTTCAGCATCACCTCTTCTTTCTCATTAGTGATCCTCACGACATTCATCTTTTGTTAATCTGCGTCAAACTATGTTCAAATCTGCTCAGTTTCTACCGTCAATTTGCTGCATCCCAATAGGAGGTAACGCTTATCAAATTATATAACAAAATCTTATAGTAATCTGCAATTGCAGGTATATTTATAAAAACAGATTTAAAGAAAAATTCTGATCTTTTCTAAAAGATTCATAATGTTTGCTTAATATATCAATTTCGACAAAATATTTCAGTAAAACAATAACAATATAGCGAATCATCATATTGCAAAATTGTCGTAAATTCATGATACTATTAACGTGAAATGTGTTTTCACAATTTGCCTATCGAAGTATCAAATCATGTAAACAAATTTTGTTATATATTTTGTGGCATTCTGTCGCTAGCATTTGATATAACAGATTTTGCAAAATTTGTTAGTGATTTGCAAAATCTGTTTAAGCAGACTTGACTGACTGGGTCTCTTTCACTCTCTCTTTTCCATTCGTAACGTCATTAAAATCTTTTGGTTAAACACACGTCTGATATTCACGATGCTAAGAAAGAATTACAGCACAAGCAAAGATAATAGAAATCTAAAGTAGAATTATATTAAACACTCCTCCTATGTAGATGCGCGTTATTTTAACGGGAGATTATCATTAAATTAATGAACGCTTGCTTGTTTACAGCCAGCTGATGTCGCGATCAGCGCTATGTACACGATCAATTAGTTTGTCATACAATTCCACAGCTCTTGGAAAAAATTTTCGACTTCTCTACGATTTTTATGGTTTCATTAGTTCGTTTCTCGGACGCGGGAGATTTTTTTTTTTATCATGGCAGTATATAAGGCATGCGCGTTCTTTTCTTTCCTTTTTTTTTTCCCCTTTATTTCGCGTATGTATCTTAGCTTACGTGATTATACTCTTGCGACGGTATTATCGACGTTTAGATCTATCGTCTATTCTCGCCGCGAAAAACAAGAAACGAATTAATCGTGGATATATTTTTAACATGATTTTTTCTTTTTGCTCCTTTTTTCCTTTTGAAAATGTGAATAACTTCGAGTCAAAATTTCAACATACATAAGCAAAAACTACTTCTCGTGAATGATTATCAATAGATCGCTATAATGACAAACACGTCTTACGTTAAGTCTTATTTCATTGCTACATTCAAACTTCACGTTTTCGTTAATAAAAATCATTAGACATCAACATGCACCTAACATCGATAGAGATTGCTTATCGTTTCCCTTATACTAATTTCTTTTTGTTACACGTGACAACTCATTTCGAACGTCGTTATAAGTCTATTATTTACAAATTTTCGAATTGGTGATGGTGATAATACTTGTTGATAGCGATTACTATTAGAAATTCTCGATAAGATATCCCGTATTCTTACAATTCTTGTGATTTACGATTTTCACTTTATTAAATTCTACTCGTTAACGTTCGTCTGTGTAAAACTAAGCAAAAATGTAATAATATTATCTACACACAATTCTATCATTCAATATCGCGTCTTCGTAAATTATAAATACAATGTGAAAAATGTGTCCATTAGTTATTTTAGATGAATAAATACTATACATAGTCTCGGGAGGGGAGAATAGGTTAAAATTTTTTCTTTTTAAATGCGCCAGGTGATTCGATTGGATCCTGCCCAATCCTTCAGATTTACGTCTTTATTAGCTGTCGTCATTAGCTTTCTAATTTTTTAGCACGCTTCGTGATGTATGTATAAAAAGACACTACTCTATTAGTACGGTAATAGAACAGTTCACGGCAGTCTTGCTGCTTGTTTCAATTCACTTTCTTTTTTGTAAGAGAACATTGTACGACGAGAAGCTGCAAGTAGAAGAAATGACAATCGCAACTTTATTAATATGAATCAATTAGGGAATAATTATTGCTATTCAAATTCTCGACACAAACGCGAAACGTCTTTATCTTATTAAAAACACGAAGCGTACTAGAAGAAAACAGATATACAAAAGTGTACCTCGTTTACGTTACTGGAAGAGAGTACATTATACTTCCGTGGTACGACTGTAAGGACCAGACTCTTCAGATTGCGACAGTTTTCGCTCTCGTTTGGCGAAGAGACCTCCTAAAAAAGATGGCTGCTGAGCCAGTCCCTTACCACCGGCACCAGGAATTGTAGCTCCTGGATGAATAGGATGAACTTGTCCAGGATGCTTAATGCCTTGGCTCATCGAGCTGGCAGAAGTAGATTGAAATGAAATAGACATACCACTATCCAGAGAACCTACGCTTCCACGACGCTGTGGCTTCTCACCGGCAACTAAATGCATACAGTGACACGTCATATTTTCATATATTTGGTAAAATATAAATAGAAAAATATAAAAACGAGCATATCCTTTTCTCTACTTACACTGCTCGTGTATATCAAGAAGAGAATTACTAAGGGCGGAACGTTTCAATTGCGTGTCAACGTCGACTGTTTCCGTTCTGTCGGAACAAGTCCCAGGACAAGGACATATCTCTACATCAGCGACGCCAGAGTCTCTGTTCTCTGCCCCGCCCCGCGCACCTCTACTGCTCTTTTGTCTCTCCAGTTCAGTTTCGATACGTAAAGTTTCCATTTCATCCATTTCGCTGATGGATTCTCTAAGGTCTTCCACAAATTTACACCTGTCATGCTCATTTCGAGCGTTAAATGTGACTAGAACTTTTCCGTCGACACGCTGAGAGAGTCTTATGCCATATGGATAATCTGCAAGATAAACGGTAACAATAAAAAGTATACATAAAGACCACGTTAATATTTAAATATCTTCATCAACCGATTTCATTAAAACTTACGGGAAACTTCAAATAAAGTAACCACCATGCCACAAAGTGTAAAGCTCTGCCTGAAAGTGTAAGTTACACTATTCTTCTTCTTGCTCAATATCTTTGTAACAACGAGCAGATCGTTAAAGAGGAAAACCTCTCTCTGATGAACGCCAGGTCTCTCCTTCTTATGAATGTCTGGTATCTCGTAGAGCCTGCAGTAACACACCAATCTTCTATGTGGCAGTGCCATGTTTGGCTTCTTTCCAACAATAGTCGCTTGGACCTTCATTACTTGCGACACATGGTCTGAGCCTGGCTTGAATTCGTTATCTTTCACTCGTTCGTAAATGCCAACTAGAATATCCCGATCTATGTCGCCGCAATCATCAATTCCTCGAAGATTCTTTATGAAATCCTCGAGTCTCATTCGGCGCTCAGGCTTTAGATTAGGTGTATGCAAATCCGTATTAAGCATGATAATAGCAAAGGCCAAAACAAAAACGGTATCTGCCGACCGCAGCCTCGATATTACGTCGTGATTGCACTGGCAATAACGTTGGCTAAAGACTTCCATTAACCGCTCGATCTTTTGTGCCTCGCCAGGCATTCTAAAGTAGGCTTGAAATTTTCGTAAAGCGACATCCACTTGCATTCCAGAGAGATCTAACTCCTGAGAGAAACATCTGAAAATTATAATAAATTATGTATCTATAGTAGATATAGATATAGAATAATTATATAAGTAATAAAATACATGTTTTAAATATGTTACGACAATATTATTAAAAAAAAAAGTGTTTTAAATAATGTATAATTATAATGAGACAATCTTTTATTAACAAAAAAAATTTTTTTGTGTCGTCATTGAGTCAAATATACTAAGTGTATTAAATCACTCACTCAAGAACTGCCATATTGAAAGTATTCTGCAAATTCCCAAGATACTCTCCTATCATCTGTTTGGACAATCCCTTTCGACTGATCAAGAATCTGGCGACTCCTTGCGGACTATTCTCCAAAAATCCACGTCTAATGAGGTAACTGATTCCCCTTTCTGGTTTCTTATTGAAAAGATTTAGGCCGACTCTATATTGTCGCTTTCTCACTGTTTCGGACACCTTGTAGCTCGTTTGAGGCGGTAGACTTTCCGTATGGTCCATTAGGGGAAGCTGATAGCCGGAGCTGGCATGTGAGTGGCCAAGCTCCTTCACGTTAGCGGTCATCGCCGCCGTGTCAGCAGTATGACTCGCGCATTCCTGATGTTCCGGCGAACTCGACTGATTTCACAATCATAACAGTTCCGTTAACGCTTTTCGCTTACGTCTTCAGAAAATCGCCGTTACTTGCACTAAACGAGCAAGTAAAGCGTAAATATAATGAGAGAAAGTCAAATATACTCACAATCCCTTTGTGCTTCCAGACAGGCGACCCTCTTTGAGCATCGCCCTCGGAGCTTTCGCAATTGGTGGAATCGCTGCCGGAACTCTGCACCGAACTTAGACTTCCGTTCTCCACGCTTTTACTAAGACCATTGTGTCGTGGTTCCATAGATCTCGAGGTGATGGAAGACGTTCTCTTCGGCACCTCTGGCGGGACCTTTTTACCGGAGCATCTCGTTCTGCCAGGACCAAGCTGGTTGGCGTTGTTCCAATTTTGCGATATAGTCGTCTGTAGATTGTGCGGCGTCGACGGCGATGTACATGGTGTTCGCAGCAAGTCTCTCGGCGGCGTTTCTTGTCTCAAGCCGCACAAGGCTTCCTGCATTAAACAGAAATTGCATCTTCCTTCAAATTAAGGAAATAAAACAAAATACATATTTTAATCATAATAAATTATTAGTCCGTTTATTTCACAATATGATCGTCTACCGAGTGCTTCTTTGCCACCACGTTTATCGATACTCACCTGTGGATTGTAGTAATGGATACTGGAGCCGCTCTCCTGGGAGCTCGATTCCCAGCAGGGACTCGGTGGTAATTGCTGATGTCGGTTACATGGGCTGGGCGCCAATGAGGGCGTATGTCTACCGCTCTGATGCAAATTATGATTTGTGTGTTGATGGCCGCTGACCTGGACCTCGCATCTACCGCTCTGACTCCTTGGTATAGGCGATTGCGAATTGTCCACGTGCCGCCTCTCCCTGAGAGACATGCTTCGGATCGGCATCGGTCTGCTAGATTCGCAATTAATTTAACGCGATGTATTTTTTTTTTTTTTTTTAACGCAACGATAATAGCATCTCCGTGGAGAAACATCTTAATTACCTATTGGCGGACTGTGCCTGCTGAATGTATATCTGACTATGATAAACCATTCTCTCGTGATCGTTGAGATTGCCCGAGCGGTCGATCGCCAATTCTTGAAGCTTCCTGCTCAATCGCTTCTCCGCCTTGGCCATCGCCGTGATCGCCGCGAATTTCTTCAGCAATGTGTACCTCCGAAAGGCACGTTGAATCGTCAGTGCCGCGTTCCGCGCTTTCACGCCGCCGTATTTCCGCTCCAGCATCTCAATCTGCTTGTCAAGTAGATCCTGCGACAACTCGTACCTGTACCAAACGAAACCATGCAATTTTTCACTTCCGATCCATTCACTTGGTTGCGATCCCCGATACAATTTTTCATCCGCACGCGAACCGTTTACGGTTTCTCTGCCGTATCTGTCTTGTTTGTTCGCGGTCGCGAAAGAGGACGTATAAGATTACGACTTACGCGGTCTGCAGCCGACATCGCTTGAGCACGTCGCCGTTACGGACCGAGCCCTTCTTAAGGTGATTCTGCTGATACCCAGCGGACTGTGGTTGCCCGCCGAAGGCCTGCACTATGGTGCCGTAGCTCTGCGGCTGCGAGTAGCCTGTCGCGTTGTGCGAATAGACCTGCACGCCCGCGGCAGGATACGGAGGCCCGTGCGCATAATTCTGGTTCTGCATGTAGGACTGGCCGGTGATGTAGGACGTCGTCGACAGAGACGTCTGGCTACCAGACGAGTACGCGCCGTGCATGTTGCCGTGGATCTGGCTAGCGGCCGTGCTGCTGTGCGACGGTCTCTCCACCTTGGTCGGGAAGCTGCGCAAGAGACAGAGGAATGGTGTGATTAATTTTTGTCCGAGACAATATCACGTCCGTGTGACTTTACTTTCTTAATCTCAGCTTATTAACGACTTCTGTGTATCCCTCAATTGCGAACGTACTTTTCTAAATCGCCTCTAAGAATTTGACAAAACGCGAATAATGACATAAATCGCAGAGTTCTCCAATCACGCTCCAATTTTCATTATCTATAGTAACATTTATATTCTTACGAGACTCTGCAGATGTTTCATCATTATTTCTCCGTATATTATCGCACAGAATTCTCTTATGTTCGTTTCAATCAATGTAGGTTAATTTTAATCTTGGTTTAACTTACTTTTGTCTTTTTCAAAGTTTCATTTTAAAAAAAAGTAAATTAAACCGAGATTAAAGTTAATCTATACGTGGACCACGAAATAAAAAATTTAAGAAATGTTCAAATGTGAATTTTTCACATTAACTTTTCAATTTTCGTTCTTCTCTTGGAAACGACATCTCGAACGATCTCTAGATTTTCAGTTTATCATCCTTCCGATGAAAAACTAGCTTGTATAAGGCGGCCTTTACAAAGAAACATTGTACGGCAAGTCCGCGTACGCAGATAATTGAAATCAGATAAACGACATCGTATCGCCCTATTCACGCGGCTGCAGCGCCAGGTGTTCTTAATAATTAGACAAGCGTATATACGCGAGGCATATACACAGATCGTAAGAATAAAGAGGACGCACCCTCTGAAATGGTAAACGCAAATGATCATGTTGCTTCCGAGGACTCGGGACAATTTTCCACGTGTATCGAATTGCGCGCGATCTATCTTTTTGTCTATGATGCGGCGTGCCGCGGACGTTCCCGATGCACAGCTATATAGTTCTTGCGCGTAATTATATTACACCACGATTGCGCCGCTGAACCGTTTCTTCTCTCGCGCGAGGAACGAAGTACGTGCCTCGCGTGTCGACCACCTCGAACGCCGAAGACGAACTGGCGATGGAAGAGGAGCATAGCAGCTGGCGCTCTCGAGGTCTGCTTTTTCGGACCATTGGGACAAGAAATCCCTGAAAGAATCGTGGATCGAGGACGAGGGGTTATACGAGTCTCTTTTCCCCTCATCCCCTCCGCGATACCATGAAGGTGCGTATTATATGCCCGTATCTCCAACGCGCCGTATCCTGGCCGGTGTGCATCTGGCAGGTGTACCTGCGCGGCGATAGCAGCATCGAGACGATGGTGTTGTTTGACCGTGACACTCAACCTTCCGCGGCGGAGACCGTTTTTCTTACGCAATGCGCGTCAATTAAATGACTTACGTAAGAATCCGACATAACTTGAGTAAATGAATGCGCAACATATGATAAATGCATATGCCAGCCGAAGAGATGAAACGCGAGATGACTGCGATCAAGAATTGCCAAGGCGAATGATTCATGATTCGTTTCCGACTCTCGCGCTTTGCGAGAGAGCGGAGGCTCCCTCCCGTTAAATCGATAGAAAATGTTGCGGCAATACACGAAAGAATAACGATGAAATGCATATCTGCGATAGTCTGGAATCGTGTTACTATAGATACTTAAAATTGGAGCGTGATCGAGAATTCGATGATACCTTCCTCGCTTCGCTGTAAAACGTGCATCGTTCTCGTAAACTGAGTCGTATTTCCCCGTCGTAATCAGTGCGTGTATCATTAAATGTTATACGATAATGTGGTTGAACAATATAAATGCTGCGCCTTAACCAGTATAAGTGCGGCGGGTAACGCAGAAGCAACACGTAATCGCATATGTAAGAGAGATTTCGACGAGTTTTAAATTGCAATTCGAAGAGCTGAGCATTTAAATCTTAACTTAGAATGGAAGTTTACAAACGGGATAGTCGGCACAATTGCGAGAATTAAATTACTTTCTCTTAATAAAGGAGCACCGAATATCACACAATAGGTATAGATTGTATCCCCCTAAATCGGTATAAAGTTCAGAAACTTTAATATGTGTGAAAACGCGTTTGAAAATAGAAGTTGCACCTCTCTTATATTTGGACACAAAGAAAGATGAAAGAATTCAGAAAGCGTATCATCATAAACTTTTCAGGAATGTATTAGACAGCACATTACTGCTGTAGTAGAATAAATTTTATTATATATCGGACTTCTATCAAAATCAATTGTGAAATATACAAATGCAAACATTGGAAAGCTCTCCGGAAGCATCTGCTTCTGGAGAAGTGAAAGCACGTATAATATCATTCGTAATGTAACAAACGTATAATTGCAAAAACCTCTCGGGATAAGAAACACGATGCTTCGTCGCAGTTGTGAGTAAAGTAAATCGATATCTTTTTGATCAATCGTCCTCTTACGAGACGGTTTGAGTTCTTCGAGGAGAACATCAGCGGACCCGTAGGAGCGGATACGCTGCCAGAGACGCGAGATCCTGTGTATAAAGGGAAATAAACGCGAGAGGGACGGTGTGGCATTAGAGCTTCCCCAGAGCAGGAGGAGAAGGAGGAACATCTGCTCGAACGTGCCCACGACTCGCGTGCCACACGAGCGCGTGCTATCCAGAGCCTCCCCGACGCACACGGCTTCGCAGAAGCGGCACGGGACCCCGCGCCGCCTGCCTGCCGTGCCGATGGTGCCCCGACACGCACCTGGCTCGACGTTTTTTCTTTAGGGAAGATGCCACAGGCGGCCAAATGTACGACCGGCTTCTTCCTGCTTTCCTTTTTCAAGAGGCGCTTCTTAATGGCCTATATAAGTACATGGTCCTTATTTTTTTTTTATTTGACCCATGGAAAAGAGATCATACGGAAATATTAGATTATTTACATTTAGAAGACGTTCATATATTTTTTCCATATATCATTTTTACGTATAATAAAAAAAGAAAGTGGACGGACTTTTCAATTGATTTGATAGTGGGAATATATCAGGGAATGAATAGATGAATGAGATTATATTTAACGTAATTGCTAATGCAATTTTTATTAAATATCTCAATAAAACATTTTTTTTTGAATGGGAAATATTCCGCAGGCATTTAACATTGCGAAAACGCGATGGGATTGGATTAGAACCGCAAACAGAAATTCTGTATTAAATGGAGATGAAATTATATTTCCTTTGTAAACATATTTAATGTCCTATTCTATTCACGCTTCATATATTTGAATATAATATTGCATGACATTTTAAACTTTTGAAATCGTGCTGATGATTATAATATTATTATAACATTATTTGTATTCGTAGTCTATAAATGCAATTGCGAGAAAATGTAGTATTTCTATAAATGCAGTTACATGAGATAAAACCGCAGTATATCCATCCATCTCGCATAAATTAAGGATTATTATCATCGGATTGATGTAACGATACGACGCGTTTACAATTTAGTCAAGTTTCGCTGTTGAAAGCAAGAGACACGTATAGCACCTCGTTAACTTCTTAACATGTAACTTGATATATCTTCGAAGTACACGCAAACGTCCGTATTGTTCCTGGAGAGGAGAGAATTGAATTACCGTGTAGTGATAGCTTACGTTCATTATCATTGGCCTAAATGCGCACAATATAAGCCATTTGCATATTGCGAACTCCCCGAGCAGAGTCACCTTCGTCATTCGCTTTGCGAATTAACTGCGTTAATTGTACAATGCATACGCACGTGTATAAAAAGTATAATAATAATTTATTACTCTTCAGAATGTACAAGGCAAAAAAGGGACTCGGTTTACACAAATAAAACTTAACCTATTCATACATCCATTACGCGCGATCACCTAAATGTTATACCTACTTCTATATAACCATTCCTTCGTTATAGTGTTATCTGTTATCTACATCTAATATTATCAACTATTTCAAATTCGTTCTAACAATCTATCTTTATAGTCATCTAGAGTCTTACCCACAGCCCCCCTCCCCTATAATTACAATTACACGCTTAATATAATTCTCATTTTTTTATTTCCTATCGACCTCTATAAAAAAATGAATATACAATACACACATATATTTCGCATTTTTCTTTTATATATCCTTACCTCAAAATGTTATGCAACAAAAAAGATGTTATTTTTTTTAAGTTATTACCATAAAAGAGTCAATTAAACATCGTATAAATATATAAAAGAGAAATGCAAATATGTGTGTACGAAATAAAAATGTTTTAATGTATTATATTATAAGTTATTCGAATCACAAAGCTTTAGAGACATAAGTGACGACAGTTTGATAAAAGCACCGGCTCTTTCGTGATCAATTGCGACGTGAAAATCAGCTGACAGCTCATTTCCACGAAGCTCTCGAAGAGACGCGTTTAAGGACGTCTTTGCTCTACTTGTATGACGCCTCGGCAGATGCAGTTGCATAGAGGATTTGCGCAAAGTGTCCATCGCTCCTGTCAATTACGCCTAAAATCGCTTATTCACGGCACGAAGTTATGGCACATTTTATCAGAGCGGTATTAATAAATTCCGCGGTGCAAACTCACGCAAAAATCGATTCGAGATGAATTTTAATTCCATTCGTACGCGCGCGCGACTTATCGAGACATCAAGACATAAGGGAAACATTTTTTTCAACATATATAAGTATTTTCCAATATTACGGTGCCTTTTACGAGATGGTTCGCAGAAATAAAAAGAGACAGGTACAAGAAATATATCTATCTAAGAAAGAAATACATATTAAGATTTAGTATAAATTTTTCAGTGTACGATATATATATATAAACCTAAAAAAAATATATATATATAAGTGAAAAGAAACGACGGATTTTTAGAAAAATTCAACTGTATTCCGTCTCGACTTCCGTTTCTAAATAAAGTTTCGCGTCATTAACTTTACGTTCGATCACTAAGTGACTTTCGACACGTAACGTTTTCGGTATACGAGAAAAAGTCGTTGTCAGGTAAGTGTGCTATGAGGTATAACCGTACGAAGAAAAAGTCTATGTACACGGTGTCTCGAATTCATTACGGAAATTATTAAAGCGTGCTCCATTATCACGACCGCTGCTCGCGCGCCGCCGTTGGACTAATTATCATCGAGCAATTAACAACCGTTGATTGCCATTACCGGCGTAGGTGCGCGAGGCATCGAGCGATCCTACCTTCTACCTGAGAAATAATTTTGCTCTCTACCGTCCGCGTGAGCATGTGCGTGCTGTTCGTGTGAGTGTTTGCGATAGCCCGCGTCTATGTGTTAGAGAGGAAGAGGCGAGGAGATGATGCCGCTTTAGAGAGATTACGTTTCCTCCAGTATGATAATTACATTCGTGCGAATCTCGTCGAGATAGCGCCGATAGGATGTTAGCAGTTTCCTTTTCTTCAATACAATTTATCTATTTCCTTCTGTTTGTAACAAATTTTCTGTACAGATTTACGATACACTTAGCGAATTACACAAATCTGCAGATTTCATTAAGTATACAGAGAAATTAAAGAAAAATATCAAAAGACATAAATGATAAACTATAATCACGACACTGTTGAATCTATAATGTCAAATTTAACCTAAATTACGTTGCCATTGTTCTTACTTAATATATCGTTATTTTATCCCAAAACAATGGCTAAATTTTACAATATATGGTAAAATAACGGTGTGTGTGTGTGTGTGTTTGAGTAGAAATAGTGATGACTTATACATAAATTATAAGGTTAAATTTGGCACTATAGTGTCTAAATATAGATATAACAGTGAAAAAGTTGTTCTTAAAACATCTTACATCTATATTAACAAAAATAGAGTTACGTTTAAAAGAATATTAACGCGTTTAAGACGATTCGGAAATTAGTTTTTCCAATGATACCTTTACTAATAGTGTTTTGTGATACAGATATAAAAGTTTTGACGGAATGATGAAATATGTTCGATACATGTCAATTATAAATGGTATAGATTGATAACGGTCGTCCGTCATCGAATTTGACAGGTCGTTAGATTTTGGTGAAATAGAAATAATAGATAGATACCGATTGATGAATGACGTCGGCGTGGAGTAACCCAACTGAAGACGCGACCTGACGACCCTTTCCTGAACGGTCACCATCTTCGAGCTTCGCGAACTTTGGTGCACTCTGGTGGTTCGTATCACTTGATAACAGTGGTGCTGAGTCTTAGGTGAGCAAACCGTCACCCTGTCACTGCGTGGCTCGATCATCGTATATGTGATCATCACTGTTCGTCACAAAAGTGTTCACCGTGCCGGGATATGAGTCCCGCTGCGATTCGAGCTCATCGTCGCGTTCTTTGCACAGCTTACGTTTTAATTCAATTCGTAAATAACATTCGCGAATTACCACAGTATTCTTTGGTTAACTGGCGGAAGAAGAGTAATCACGTTAAAAAAGATACGCTCGGTATCCGACGAACCTATAAATCCGATTAAAGCAGAAACCCGTTATATCTCGGTTGGTTGTGGCACAAATTAAGGAAAAGATTTTCAGTGTCAACGTAATATCCTGTTTACTCGAAATTATTATATCTTGTTACGTGAAATGAATCAGAGAACTGTAGTTTTAGATAGCAGACAACTGTTAAATGATGAGTTAAAATCATCTCTTCAGTTGTTCATTCAATTACGTCTTCATAATCGTAGAAATTTAGGTCAATAAATTAATAATTAATCAAAACGCATCGGATCGATCCTTATTAATAGGTAATAATTCTTGAAATCTAAATTTGGTTTCCAAGCACGGAGACCACCTTGAATTTCATTTGAGCTTCATTGCGCATTTAACACTAAGTAATTGGGTTAACTATTACTGAGCTACTCTCGGCAGAGCGATCAATAGTGTCGTTTTCACTCGTCCGCCTTTTCCGGTTGATTCACGAGTAATCGTTAAAACTTTCTAACGATATGTGATTAATATGCGTAACATTAAGTATATCACAGTACGATATCAACGTATGATATATTTATCAATGATCTCTCTTTGATGAAAGTATGTTTATATATTTTTCATATTTTTATACACTTGAAGCCTCGGCTACATGTATTAGAAAATAAAAAATATAGAAAAATAAGGGTGAAATCAAGTTAGTCCAACAAATCTTGTTCTTAGCGGTCAAAAAGCTTTAAAAGATTTTTTTTTAATTGCAAACTTTTCGATTAAATTTTATTTAAATTTTTATAATTTTTATTTGAAATGTCGTTTCTATTACGTGATTAAATAGTAGAATTTTTTTTATGAATTGTACGTATGATTGATTGTGTGTCGTAAATAATAATACTTATTTGACGTTAATATTGAAATCGAATTCGACTGAATAAAGTTTGTAAAATCGAGACAAATTGCCACTGTATTAAAACGCGTAATTAATTTATGACCAATGCAATTGACGTGTACGCTCCGGTGGATACCGTTTGCTGTTCGTCTTTTAGGTGGTTCGTATCGGGGACGCACGTACGAAAAAGTCAAAGACGGCGAATAATAATGAACACAGAAATTCTGCGTGCAAACGAGACCGCACGTGAAATGTCTTTAACTGTGTGTGACATACGGCAAAATATATAAGTCCTTTACAACGCGACTCTCCGAAACTCCGTGCGGTGCATACTCGTCGCGCAGCTCGTTAACGCGATCCACTTTGCTCTCTTTTATACAACGAAAACTTGCTCTGGGACCTCCCTGTGTGGGGTTGCCAGTAGACAAACGCGACGAAATTGATCAAATTAATTCAACGACGACAATGGCGGAACTTCACCGGATGCGACCGCCGAATTGATCCAAGGAGGCCATCACGTTGAATGCTCGTTGAAATGCACCCAATCGAATCAATTCAGATTTCCATTCACACGAGATCGACGCCACGAAGAATGCACTTTTCACATTTATCGCGATTCAATTTCACACCTGTGACACTGTAGGAAACGAACGACGAAGTGTCCGTTTTCCACATCGAGCGATCGCTTTGGTATGAAATAGAAAAGGGGGTGGGGGGGAAACAATAAAAATACCTTGACGGACCGGCGAGCACGTTGATTCACAATCGTCAACTACACCCGTTCTGTTTGCCGTTAGCTTCGATACCATAATGGAACTGTCAAAGTCGAATGAAAGGTGGGGCGGCGGCCTCCCACCGACGGCGATTTCAACGGCTGCGCGCGTATACATTGTTACGCTCGTCTCGATGCTGCTACCGCTCGGAAATACAGGTCAATTCACTCTGGCCGTGCGCGATCGTCGGGTGTACTGATATATATTTCTGAATCTACGTTAAAAAGAGGAGAGCTACACCGAGACGGGACGAAAGGTCGTTGCACCCATGAGGGAGAGATCCACTTTAACGCGCGGCTGGAAAGAAGCCCGATCGATTTATGGCGCACAAACGATTTCCAATCGCGATCTCAATCACGCTTGCGTCGATTGATCCGAGTTAATCCTTGACGCCTATATATATATATATATATATATATATGTTCCGCGGAATAAAATTTTCGATTTAGTCGATACGGTGATAAAAACGACTCACGAGAGACGTCCCTGGCTTTATTTAAACACAGAAAAATATCATACCGCTAAGAAAAGTGATTATAGGTTCAGTTTACTTTTTTTCTTTTGTAACGGCTATTTTTAATAAAAAATATTTTCTTGATAATAATCATCATAAAATGTACATGTTATAAATTTTTTAAGAAATCTCGTTATGTGAACAAATTTATTTTCTGTCGAAGAGAAACGGCTTTATATAATAAACAAATCAAATTTATTTTAATTTAATAATCTTGACTGAACAATTTTAAATTTGCGGATATATGAATTCTTGAAACAAATAATTGATGTATATTTGAATACAGTCTGTGCTGTATTGAAAATAATATATATTAGTTTCGTATACAAAATTTTACGAAATTAAGACCTGTCTAAAAAATGTTCAAAAAAATTACACCATCTCGCAAACGTTCGAATTCTCATGTTGTCTGTTAATCACGACCTTTGACAAATTAATGAAAAACACACAACAAAATGCAGAATATCGAGCAGAGAAAAAACAAGAGGCGAAATACAGTCGTCTCCGCATTTCTCGCGCGATTTTAATTGAACGCTTGTATCTCAACGCGTTGACGACAGATTTATCCCTCTTTGGATACGCGCGCTCGTACCACCAGCTGAACTGTAAATAGAAAAATAATAACGCACAACAGGTATATCCGCGTACCGGCTGTACTTTCACGTATGTTAATGTCAACGTGATAGGGATTTCGCGTCAATACAGCGACAGTTTCAACGAGCGCGTGTGTTCCAGTTTTAATTTCACATCGTCTGTGCGGGCTGTTGTTTTTTTTTTTCCTCCGATCTAATATGAAGAACACGCAAGCGAAGTACGCTTCACGCGACATCGACATGAGAATATCTGCGGTTATGTACTCAAGTATGTTTTTTTCAAAAACGGCCCCCGCCGTCCAGTCTGTATAAAATTTTGTACTAAATCTAGATTCGACTCTATTTGCAATTTTTTTATATAGTATAATAATATAGAGTAGTTCGAAAAATACGATTAATTGTGTGCCAAAATGCTATCATATTCTAGAAAAAATAAATAAATGAGCTTATTTCTTGGATTTGGCGTGATAATGTACTACTGTTGGATATTATAGAAGCGATATAAATCCCTTCAGTAAAATATAAAACATTTTGTTATATTTAACTTGTATATAGTCAAAATGTAAATCGCAATAATTTCTGTTGTTAGTTCGAAGTAAATAAGCAACGTTTATATATTAGTGCATTTAATAAGTGATAAACAAAATTCGAGTCAAGCTCAAAACAATTTTTTCAGTTAAATTAACGTCATTACTGAGTAGAAGCAATGAGGATGTAAAGAAATGATGAAAAACTTAAATTGAATATTGTTATTATATGAATTTAATCCCTTCACACACACACACACACACACACACATCTCGCGAGATTAAAAGATCGCTCCGATTTTTACGTCACAATTATAAGATCCTTCAACAATAACACATAGAGTTTCTCACGTAGAAACGATTAAAGTAACAAAAAAAGATGATTTAAGTGTAGTATTTTCACTTCACACGGCCGCAATATTCACAGGTGTATTCATGAAGACGCCTCGATCAAATTGCTTTTAACAAAACCGCGTCAACATTCGATCTTCCGTGAATTCCATCGGCGCTCTGATCGACACAATTATCTGGAACGTCAGCGAAGAGCCAAACGTCGAATTCACACGCGGGTCCGACCTCATCTTCTCTCCGCGGAATCGGATACTAAAGTCCTCGCGGCACAGCGTTATGCACAAACGGCCTACGTATACGAGAGCACGGACACGTCGAGATCCTCAATTTGCCTGTGGCAAAAGTAAAAGTTAGCGATCGGGAGAAAGCTCCGGTCGAGCGTACTCTCGGCGGCTAGACGCGGGCGACTGTGGGACTGGTCTAGGCGCACGAATTGCAAGTGGCAAAGGTTACAAGCGATTTCTGCGGGAAGCAGAACCCGCGAGCGAGTTCGCCGCGGGGAAAGAAGAATCGAGAGTAAGCCGCGCGCGCGAAAGCGACTTCGACGAACGGAAAGGACTCTTCTTCTTTCTTTCTCTCTTCTTTATTATTTGCCGAGTTCCAAAAGTGGCACTCCGCTCGACGGAATGTCGGAGTTTCTATAAGAGCGTTCATTTTTCTCAATTTTAACAGTTGTAACGGCGAGCCCTAGTAACGGCGCGTTCAGGTTTGCTTCGGTGAAACGTCACACTCTAATAATAAGTTCACGTCGGCATACTATCGAGTACACACGATAGGATAATAAGTTGCGCGCACGCAACGTCAAGAAAGCCGCGCGCGATTCTTTTTCCACATTCCTTTATTATCCGCTTTTCTCGTTCCCTAATGACACGGTGAGGGTATATATATACCCGAGAGCCGATGTGTAATGAAGAATAGCGGGAGTACCGATGCGCGCGTTACGTGGAAGCCACGAGCGGATTTCTAACTGGCGTGTAGTGTGAGATTTGTTCGATATTAGCGAACAAAGTGTTATGTATATAATGGAATACAAAATATCTCCCGCGTCTCTCACTCCGCAATTATGCGTTTTTATAAATGCATTAACCTCGAATTCAAAACGTGCGAGAATTCATAAGGAAATTCATAACATGCGAATTGCAGGGAAATACGCGCGATAGGATTTTTTTTTTCAATATTAAGTAATACTTAAAATTGAATGTACAAGTCAAAGATTTTGAGGTGTCAGAAATGTTCTCTCGATATTACTTTCGCAGTTCTTAAACTCAAGTTATTCGAACTCGAGGATATTACGCGAGAAAGAATTTTCGTGACATAAAGGTAAAGCTGCGATCTCGTCTCAAAAAGTCTTAACGTATATTAAATTTTTAATAAAAGCCTTGCTATACGTAGTGTATTTT